AGAGAGAGGGACAGACAGAGAGAGAGACAGAGAGAGAGAGAGACAGACAGAGAGAGAGACAGACAGAGAGAGAGACAGAGAGACAGAGAGAGAGACAGACAGAGAGAGAGACAGAGAGAGAGACGGCGAGAGAGAGAGAGAGACAGAGACAGAGAGAGAGACAGACAGAGAGACAGAGAGAGAGAAATGTTCTTCACTGTTGACTTGAACCGACACTTTTAGATTGTGTGAAATCACACTCGGGTGTAATTAAGTGGACGTGATGTTCTTCTGTTATCTGGACAGACTGACGTCTCGCAGTGTCTCACAGTCTCACCTGAGGCGTAGGACAGGTCGTATTGTCCCGACAGCAGCGGGTAGCCCAGGTGGTGATGTGAAGGCAGCATGCGTTGGGACGGAGAGGACCGCGGCCGGTCCCCCTCTCGGTCTCTGTCCCGGTCCCGGTCCCTCTCGTGGGGGGTCTTGTTGTCCTGGATGGACGGGGACTTGCTCTTGTACTGGCTGGCGTGCTGCTGCAGCAGTTCCAGAGCTTTGGCTTCACCGGGCGGCTTCACTGTGGGACTGGACCTGGAGGGCTTCTCCACCACCTCCTCCACCTTACCCCCGTACGAGGGGAAGGAGTAACCGGCCGGCAGGTAGGAGCCTGAGGGAAGGAGACAAGACTGAAGGAGACGAGACTGAAGGAGAGCGGACACAACATCGTCCACTTCTATAAGACAACTTATATGTATTAAGTATATGTATTACTTTGTTTTTGTCTTCTTGTGTTTATTCACAACAAAAACACACAATTCAAATGATAAGGAAATATAAGATTGTATTTTTATGGATTAAAACGAATCTCTTCATGATTATTTTTATTGATGTATAACAATGTGCTTACAGTTCGTGTTAGGAAGTTAAACAGCTCATAATTCATCTCTAACGTCTATTTTATATTAACGTGAAAACATCTCCTTGACTAGAAACACATATTTTACTGAATATTGGAGAACGATCATCAGTAAAACTTTATTTACACTGTGATGGTTAACGTTAAAACATTATTTACACTGTGATGGTTAACGTTAAAACTTTATTTACACTGTTGATGGTTAACGTTAAAACTTTATTTACACTGTTGATGGTTAACGTTAAAACTTTATTTACACTGTGATGGTTAGCGTTAAAACTTTATTTACACTGTTGATGGTTAACGTTAAAACTTTATTTACACTGTGATGGTTAACGTTAAACTTTATTTACACTGTGATGGTTAACATTAAACTTTATTTACACTGTGATGGTTAACGTTAAAACTTTATTTACACTCTGATGGTTAACGTTAAAACTTTATTTACACTCTGATGGTTAACGTTAAACTTTATTTACACTGTGATGGTTAACGTTAAACTTTATTTACACTGTAATGGTTAACGTTAAAACTTTACACTCTGATGGTTAACGTTAAACTTTATTTACACTGTTGATGGTTAACGTTAAAACTTTATTTACACTGTGATGGTTAACGTTAAACTTTATTTACACTGTTGATGGTTAACGTTAAACTTTATTTACACCCTGATGGTTAACGTTAACTTTATTTACACTGTTGATGGTTAACGTTAAAACTTTATTTACACTGTGATGGTTAACGTTAAACTTTATTTACACTGTGATGGTTGCCGTTAAAACTTTATTTACACTGTGATGGTTGCCGTTAAAAAACTTTATTTACACCCTGATGGTTAACGTTAAACTTTATTTACACCCTGATGGTTAACGTTAAAACTTTATTTACACTCTGCTGATTAACGTTAAACTTTATTTACACTCTGCTGATTAACGTTAAACTTTATTTACACTGTGATGGTTAACGTTAAACTTTATTTACACTCTGATGGTTAACGTTAAAACTTTATTTACACTGTGATGGTTGACGTTAAAACTTTAATTACACTCTGCTGATTAACGTTAAACTTTATTTACACTGTGATGGTTAACGTTAAACTTTATTTACACTGTGATGGTTAACGTTAAACTTTATTTACACTGTGATGGTTAACGTTGAACTGTGAGGGGGTCAGTATGTGAACTTTATTGCCTACGTTACTCACCATCATGTGTGAGTGACGCTGTGTGCAGATTAAAAACTGAACAGATGTGAAATATGAAGCACACCACTTACACCTTCCAGCCCTGACTCATCTATTGTTTTTCATTTCTCTGCCTGTCTCCTGGTGTGAAGATCAATAATCTAACGATCAGACTCTCCCACCTCTTACCGGGGTAGTTCTGCATCATGACGGAGGGCATGCCCCGGTAGCCCGGGTGGCTGGGCTCGTAGGCGTGTCCGTAGGCGTATGGTCCGTGCATGTAGGGCATGTAGCCCTGGTGGTGCTGGGCCAGGGGGGGGGAGGAGAACTGCTGCATGTGAGGAGGAGCGTGACGCGCCTCCTTCACTCCCACCCGCTGATGCTGCTGCTGCTCCTCCAGAAGAGGAGGCAGCTGAGTCCTGCCCTCCGATCCCCCCTCCTTGGCCTCCTCTTTGGGCCGCGGCCGCTCCTCCTTCACCTTCCTGTCGCGCTCCTCCTTCCACCGGTCCTCCTCCTGAGGTTTGGGGGCGTCGGAGTACTTGTTGGGGTAAACGTAGGGCCACAGGCGGGAGTCTGGCTCCTGGAGAAGTATTGAAGAAGACTTGAAACTAGAGATTGAGACCATAAACTCATGTTTACAATGTTTACTGAGGTAATAAATCAAGAGAGAAGTAGAGTCATTTTCTCATAGACTTCTATACAACCAGAGGAGTCGCCCCCTGGTGGACACTAGAGAGAATGCAGCTTTAACACATGAAGCTTTGGAGAACTTTATAGAACCGGAGGTTGTCTCCTGGTTGGGAATCAGAACACATCACTAACTAATATTAACCAGCCATCATTGACAAGGATCAAATCTTCTCACTAAATTTTATGATTGTTTTTTTTTGGACAGTTTTCAATGTGTTTGTCAAACACAGAGACTCTAAACTATGTTTTAAAAGCTGAAGGACGAGACGTAGCTAGATTCAGTGTGAGAGCAGCAGTTACCTGTCTGTACCACATGGCGGGCTCTACACCTGCCGGCCTGCCTGGCTCAACCCCTGGCTTGGCCTCCTCTTTCCCATGATGCCCTACTTCACTCAGCTTCATCTTCAGACCCTCGGGCTGTGCCGTGGCGGCGGCGGCAGCCTTCTGCTCCTCCCCCTTCGCCATGATGACCGACTTGGACTGCTCCGCGGCCGATGGCAGTGGCTCTTTGGGCTTGGTCGGGTTCATTCCCCCCGCCCCCTTGGCGCCCCCCAGGTCGGTTAAGCTGGGGGCTCTGGACAGGTTGGGCGGCACCAAGGCTTTCTGCCTCCACTCCTCTTTCCCGCAGGCCTCCCGCTCTTTGCCCTCGGCCTTCTTGTCCACCAGCCGCTGCCTGTCCTCGTACTGCTGGCGGTAGGCGGGGTTAGAGGCCAGCAGGTGGGCGTGGTAGGCCTGGTCTGGGGAGTACGAGTAAGGGGGCACGTAGTACTGGTTGTAGTAGAGCGGCTGGGCGTACATGTTGGAGCGCTGCTGGATGACCGACGGCTGCTGCTGCTGCTGCTGAGGCCCCGGGTCCACCTTCCTCTCCTCCTGAGGCTCCACCTTCAGCTTGACTACCACCTCCTCCTCCTCCTCCTCCTCCTCCTCGCCGACCTCCGGCTCCTCCTCCTCCTCCTCCTCCTCCTTTTTCACCTTCACCTGAGCTCCTTCCACGTGAGGCGGCGCTGCCGCCGGTGCCGCTCCCGGGCTCGGGTTGGGGTAACTGGGCGAGTAGTAGGAGTCGTAGTTGGGGTAGTATGGTGATTCCTTACTGGGAGCCTGAGGAGGAAACAGGTTCTTTTTGGCCCCCTCACGAGGCCCCTGGTCGGGTTCGGTTTTGACCCTCCCCTCTCCGTCCTCCCCGGCGTCGGAGATGTCGGAGTAGGCGGGGCTGCCGGTTTCGCCCCCATTCTGGTTGACGTGGCCGGCCTCCATCCTGCTGCCCACGCCGATGGATGGGCTGGGCGCGTTGTCCGAGAAGCTGTACACCTTGTCGGCCTCTGCCTTGATGCTGGCCAGCCGGCTCTGGTGGGCTTCCGAGGAGCCGTTGAGCAAAGCGTCGGACGTATCCGAGTATGGGCTCCTCCCCTCCTCTGGCCTCCCTCCCCCTTTACCCTTCGGACTGTCCCCGTCCTTCCCTGCCTCCCTCTTCTTCTTGTCCTTCTTCTTCTTGTCCTTGGCGAGGGTGGGGCTGCAGGCGGGGTCCGCCAGAGGAGGCTGTTTGGACTGGTTCTTCATCTGGGGGCTCTTGGGGATGGGCTGTACCACTGAGCCCACGGCGGGGGAGGACGCCTGGAGGGCGTAAGGTGACGGGGCGTAAGATGACGGGGCGCTGGGACGTCCCGGCTTCATGCCTTTCTGGGTCGGTTTATCGGCTTTGCCTCCAGCCGCTGCCATCTTCTTCGACTTCCTGTCGTCCATCCCGTCGTTGCTGGCCTCGTCCGTCAAACACGCCGCATCCTCGCCGCCGTCCGTCACCTCGGGCTCGGCCTCCCCCGCCTTCTTCTTCCCTTTGGACGTCGTCAGCTTCCCTGGCGAGGGCGACGGGGCGTCAAACCCCCGACCTTTGGGCGTGGTGGAGCGGGCAGGGGAGATGGAGGCGGCGCCGTTGCAGGACGAGGCCGGGTCGTCTCCGTACTCGCTGTCGCCATCCTGGTCCAGTCTGACGTCGTCGTGGTCGTTGTGGGCTCGCGCCTGGTGGTACTTGAGCCCGTTGATGTGCTTGTACTTCTTGTTGCAGTTGGGGTGAGGGCAGTCGATGAGCACGGGGGAGGGGCAGGTCCGGTCCAGCTGCGGGGGGGGCAGCGGGTCGGCGCCGGTGGAGTCGGTTCTCATTCGCTTCGAGGCCTTGGTGTCCTCCGAGCTGGAGGTGGGCTCCATGTCGGAGGCCGGCTTGGTCTTCCTCTTGGCGGAGGACGGGCTGGCCTTGGCGTCCTCAGTGGCACCGCCGGTGGCCGTCTGGCTGCCTCTCCGTCCTTTGCTGTTGGCGGCAGCGGCGCCGCGCGTCTTACCTCCACCTCCACCTCCGCCGCTGCCCCTGTTGTCCGAGGAGTTGCTGTTGTCGTTCAGCGGCGTGTTGCTGCTGGGACGCATCCTCTTTCCCCGACCGCGGCCGCTCCGCATCTCCACGTCGCTGGTGGGAGACTCGCAGAACCTGAGGACAGAAGAAGAAGAGGGTGAGGAGCTAAAGATTTAGCTGGGTGTCTAAGGTGTTCGGTGTGTAGTATTCGGAGTGTAGTGTTCAGTGTTCGGTGTGTAGTGTTCAGTGTGTAGCGTTCAGTGTGTAGCGTTCAGTGTGTAGCGTTCAGTGT